CAGTGGGGGATGGGTGGCTCTGCGGAGGTCTGGGGTCGGGAGGGGGAGCTGGGGGATGGGCGGCTCGGGGGGGCTGGAAGGGGCTGGGGGCAGTGGGGGATGGGCGGCTCTGGGAGGAGTGGGGGATGGGGTCGGGATGGAAGGGCTCCCTCCCAAGCCCCGTCCCTCAGACTCATTCTCGGCTCCTCGCGTTGCAGGCAGGGGGTGAAATCCAGCGGCTCTCGCGGAGCATCGTCCTGAACCCCAAAGGTTCGTGCAGGAACTCGCTGCTCGCCCGGCCCCGCAGCCGGACTCTGCAGCGTCCGCCCCAGGCAGGGGCCCGGGGCCCGAGGAGCTCCCCCCTGAGGAGGAGAAATGGCTGGTGCGAGGCGGGGGTCCCTGGTGCAGTCCCCGTTCCCGAGCACGGCCAGAGCTCCGCTCCCCTGGATGCAGCAGGAACAAGCAGCTACAGGGAGTTTCCAAGGCTGCCTTTCCCGCCAGTCCTGTGCCCAGCAGAGCTCTGTCCGTCAGTTTCCTCCCCTCCCACAGCCATGGTCCCACTGCTGCCCTCTGTGCTGGGTCACAGACACCCTCAGTGCTCGGCCCTGGCACTTTACAGCCAGTGCCCAGGGCAGCCCCTCAGCCCATGCGGCTTAGCTTCTCACGAGCTGTGCTGCCAGGCCTAGCCTTGGGCGGTGGCTCCTTGTTGTCCAGCTCTCACTACATAATGGGATTTAACTGCTCCTTCCATTGAGGCAGAGAGGGGAGCTTAGCACACCCAGGTCTGCGATTGTCCGTAGATCCAAGAGCCGGTAACACCTTCCAGGCAACAGGGATCAGGCGCCTGGCGCGGACTCTCCTGGCCTAGGCTGCCCCGCAACGGGCGTCTCCCTGCCCCACACCCTCCCCTGCGACATTCAGCTCCGCACCCCACAGCAGCCCCCTGGCAGGAGCTTGTTTATAACCAATCTGAGCATCGGAGCCCCACTCCTCCCTCACCCCGAATGCTCTGTCCTCCCCTGGCAGGTCAACTGCAGCAGGAGCTGGTCAGAAGCCAACACCTCGAAAACCTGGTGCCCGACACAGACGCCGAGGTCTTCATTAGCGTGCAAGGTACGTGGGGCGCCAGCCGGGCACGGCTCCGCGTGGGCGCCAGGCAGCAAGTGCGGCTCGGCCTTTGAGCAGCCGCTGGGCCCGTGAACGTCCCCCCAGGGCTACCCGTCCCCGTTTCCCTGCCCTCTGAGCTCCAGCTCCAGGGGCCTCCCTGGCCCCAGCGCAAGTGGTGGGACAGATTCCACTCTCGCCTACGCTGCTGTGAATCACCCTGCTCTGCCCCGAGAAACACGCCCCTCGCAGAGCCAGGGTGTAACGATGCTGGCTTTCGCGGGACACATCGGAGAGTGTCAATTCAGGACAAATTGCTGAGAGCCGGGCAGTTACAGCCTGTCACGTTATTGACATAATCTGGGACCGAATAGAACATGGTTGCAACCAAAGTCCTGTAGCGGCACCAAATCTTGTATAAAGGGGGTCAAATGGGGTGTCTAAGACGAGGTTATGGTTTGCTGGTTAGGATTATGCTGTCTATATGTGTGTATCAATTTTGTAGTTGAGGTTATGAATATTGGCTCTATACTGTCTGTATTTCAAACTTATGCTGTGCTTCTGGGGGATATCCCAGACAAGCTGGTGTTAGCTCTGCCTAGCCTGCTTGGTGGCCCATTAAGGACCATCAGCCATACAATTGACTCATGGAGAGAAGGCAGATACGCCTTGTAACTCAGCAAAGTATGCAGGGACTGGCCCAT